TCTAACCCACAACACCTGATAAAGAATCATCGCAATTATTCTTTCGGGACGTGTCCGTCTCAAATCCATTCCCCAAGCTGCAAACTAAGTTTTTATTACATAACTCACATCGAGAGTTCATTTATAAGAATGACCAGGCAGTAGACTACCGGCTGCGCTAAGTCTCGCGAAACCGAACGTGTGCTTCTGGATAATTCTGTCCAGTGATTCATGTGCTATTTCTTATAAAACTGCTTCTATTGCACAGCTAAGATAATGACAATCAATAGCAGTAAAATAAGAAGTGGAAAAAATAATTAAGTTCATTTAATATATGAACATAAAAAGCAAAATTTAATTGTGATCACCTCCAAGACTAGAGGCTGAAAATATTGGGGGTGAAAACTATTAGGAAATGCAATAAAATCATAAATAACTTACATATTTGTTTTACAAATATTGATAACAAGAATCAAAACGTTCATATATTTTATCAAACACTACTCCCGTAGATTCATCTCGGAAGCTTTTATGAGTGTGTCTGTAACTGTATTCCGCTGGAAAAATCGAAAATATTTTAATTTGGGGCAAAAACTGTATAAGATAGATAACTGGTTTCTTCCTGTATACAATTCAAGAGTATCTCATATTTCATTTTACTCAAATTTATTGGTCTCGTTGAAAGTTACCTTGATGAGCTTTCGAAATGCTCGTACCTCATGCTCAATGTTTTCAAATGTGTCGACGTTCAACTCTTCAACCCCAAATCTGGCTCTCGTCATCAAACTACTTTTGCTGATTTATCTGACTTCTTCAGTAACATTCATAGCATTTTCAAAGCTAACTCTGGTAAATACCCCAAAATCGTTCACTCCACCAAGTCTCTTGGACTAGACACGTAGAGAACGTTTTTAAAATATGGTTCGTAAACTTTCATTTTATGCTTTCAGGTTAGGGAAACTTACTGTTAGCTCAAATATAAGTTTCAAATTTGTGGTCGCCTGCTTCCTCCCTCATTCGCTGTACAGTTCCACTGTAATTTTTGCCAAGCCTGAAGGAAGGAGATTTTTTATCAATTTCCAGATCCATGACTTTTAATTTCCCGATGTTGCGGGCATAGTCAGAAATGTCCTGGCTACTTTTATTGTACACAAGCGTGTCGATGGTGTGAAAGAACAGCCAATAGTGTCTTGAACAACGAAGATCAGTGCTTGCACAACACACTTCTTAAATCCATGTCAAACCCCATTATCCGCTCCCTTTATAGGCTCTTTTGCGCACGCACCATCAGAAACAAACAGCACCTCATGAGTTTAGTCTATCACTATTGTCTTCTTGCTCGAAGTGTGCTATCATTTTGTTTACTTTACTCACAATATGATGCGATCTTCCCCCTTCAGGTGCATAAAGCTTAGTTTGACTTGATTTGATCTAAACAATCTTTTCTAGATTTAGGCTTTTAAGATGTTCGTTTAACCCAGTACTCCCCGGCCCATATAAATAAACCCCCGAACTCAGTTATCGACTACAAATCTTTGGTGTAAAAACGGCACTTTTTGAAAGAATCTGTCTCAACCGATGTGCTATGCGTTGCTTAAAAATCAAGTTTGATTTGTCTTCAATCAATACGGAGATTTTCATTCAATTAAACAGGAAAAGGTATAATTATTCCCGTGATAATCGGTTTCCGGTATTCTAACCTGTTTGTGTAAAATACCACACGCGAATTATCTTTCTTCCAGATTTGCTTTCTTTCACACATGACGGTAACTAGTACAAGTAGCACTCAGCCTATTTACGTGATGCGTCGAAGATCGGTTTTGAAACCAAAATCTGCCAAACAACAATTTGAACAATTAACCGTGGGTTGGAAATTCATTCGGTGGACTCCGGTGAATTCTAAGGAAAACCTGTCGGGGCAGTCAGCTTACATGCTTATTGGTGGATGCCAAATGTCTCTGTATGTTGGGTGGATAATTCGAATGTGAAAAGACCAGTGCTCTGTCGGTGAGGCCTCCTAGCTCAACTGGTGAAGCGTGAGCTATACAAAAGCATTAGCGTCGTCTATGCATGAGTTCGAATTCCACCGAGACTACTGAACTTTTCACAATCTTGACACAAAATATGTTTAATTTGCCAATGAACAATTTACAATCTTATCTGTAAATTTGCCTTCATGTGCATCAAATTTATCATTTCATATACTCATCCATAGATTAGTTTTTCATCTCTGTGAGAGATTGAACGAACAGGGTACACACTAAACGACGTAGTTTTCTCCATACACGAGCAGCTAGATTGTGGTTTAAAACCTGATAACAACAACAACTGAACATGAGCTAGGCCGCAGAATGCCAACAACTGCTCGTACTTATTGGTAAGCATTTTTCTCTCCGAAAAACGTTAGTCCGAAATACCTCAAAAGACAACAATTAAATGAAGAAACCGCGACATAAAATAGAACAATGCAGCTAGTGGATAACTTCCGTCAGGATCACAAATCAGAAAAGCAATTTTACGATTATTACTAATTCATCCTGTGTTTGAGAAACGGGCGTCAGAAATTCTTCAACATCAGATGAAATGCTGTGGTCTGGGAAAATCAATGTCACGAATGCATTAGATTTTGAAAGTCAAAAGTGGATAAGTTATCAAAGGTGGTGGATTGTCTGGATGTAGTTACCATTGCATCTTGCAATCCAGATAGATTGGTAAACAATGACAAATAGTCGCATAAAGTAATAAAAGATATATGTTCGGTTCAAAAACACATTGTTCATCATGCGCCAACTAGTTTAATGGGACTGGTTCACCCTAATCTGACGTTTGTAATGAATTCAATGAATAAGTGAAGACTCAAACTTGTCCTGACCAAGAGGAACGTGGGACAAAACCATGCATTCGGTGTGGATAACCAGCATGGCGGTGAGGAAACTCTATATTCTGCACAAATCCGGGTCCAGTTAAGGGCGGTTATTCTATATCATCTATGACTTGCTAACTGAGATATGTAAAATTGCAAACTAAACATCGTAGTTTTCATTAAATAAAAATAATAATATTAATATTATGCATATTCACATTGACGTTACAGTCATGAACGGAATACTGTTTTCCCTTTGAAAACAAATAATGGGAACTTGTTCGTTTGGTTGCGCTTTAAAATGACTCAATTCCCTTTTACCAATCCGTGAAAATTTGCAAAAGCTTACAACTACAATAGATATACCATTCCTAACGGTAGCCCACTAGGCCAAAACGAAGCAGGAAATTCTGTTTTTCTTTTCACAAAACACTGGCATATTCTTATGTCAATGGAACAAGAACAAATCAGAGGCAAATCCACACCTCGTTTCTGTCAGTGCTTGGTTGCTATTTTGTTTTTGTATCAGATGGCTTGGCGCTAATCCTCGGTTTTCGATATCTACCTTTCGGTTTTGCGTCTGCAAAAACGAGGATTTGAAAAAATCCTTCGAAGGATCCGCCTCCGATTTTCCCAACTCTTCCACTTCGGAATCGCAACCCACAGTTTGTGTTATCGACATTTGCTTGCACGGTGAAAGTGGAATCAGTTCCATTGTTCAGCTTGGGCTGTATACTAAAAAACCGCAAAATGTTTAGGCACATTCGGTTCGATTATCAGCTAAAAATACATGCGCCGATCTGGCAATCCACTGGAGATCAACCGACCCTAGTGTCAGCGAGAAACTATCAAGACTGACATGAACAAAACACTCTGGACCGATAAAGAGACCAAAACCATCGACAAATTGTTTCGACTGTTGATGCTATCGGCAACCGAGTATGGAGTTCTATTTGATATTTAAGCAAACAAGAATCCCATTTTGGATTCGACCTTGGATCGATAAATGAGCAGCGACTGAGATAGACCAGCATCGTGCCTGTTTATGCCATTCTTCGAATCCTGGTTGTTCGGCCAATTAAGTAATAAGAAACAGAGGGGGGTTTGCTTTTGATTTTTCTGGTTTGATGAATCGTTTCCAGGATGCATAAGTCTTTTAGTTACTGTAATAAACATCAGTAAGTGGGTGAGAACTCTCATTGTTTTCGGACAGAAGAATTTATCTGATGTTAACTTGACCTACAGCTTGAGTTTCGCTTTTTTCCATGTGTGACCATTATCATTCCGGAAATGACATGGTTAAATATCATAGTGAAAGTAACTGGATTAATGTATGTTGTTCTGGAGATATTTTTGTCTTCCACGAGGTAATGTGAAATGCTCAAAAAGCATTAAAATAACATGATCCATTTGAATGGAATTAATTTTCGCCATTCTTGACATCCACAATGTGCTTGCCTTCATAAGTTCTGTGTCTTTCCTACCGCATCACGTGAATTTTCGTTAACCGAACAGTGTGATATATATGTTATTCGTCAGACAGTCTGTACTTTTCCCACTTCTCTTCCTGTTAATTTTTGATCGGTTCTAAATGTAACACTTCATTCTTCAGGTAGATAGTTGTCTTGTCTCTGGTACATTCTCCTCATTACTGAATGCTTTTTATCTGTTCCGTTTGCGACATGTATCACGGAAGCATGATATAACAAAAATTGCCCGATTCCGCCCACCTGCTCCGTATTCGGCTTCCCGTGAAAACCGGCCTGAACGTTAGTCGATCGCTAATTGGTGGCCATCGGTTGCCTTGTCCAGCTGTGATTGGTCCATTCTGACCCAATGAATTGGGCATGTCCCGTGGCTTACGCATACACCGAACGCAGTTTCTGTGCGTGTGATTCACGGGTCGGGACTAGATGTGTACTATTCCAGATCGCACTACTGCCACGGACGAATGCGTGATGTCCAGAACGTTTGTGTCAATTTTGTCGGAGTGAACCAGGTGATTGGTTCTCATTGTGATTCCCCCTGTGGTTTTGCCCGTCACATTTGAGGGGAAATTAGGAGAACCCGTGTCTTGTCCAATAACCACAATAACGACACGGCAGATGTAAATATTTGCAAACTGACTGCAAATGGAATTTTACAAAACACGCGGATCATGTGCCATGCATTCTGGATAACACTGTATCACATGACGACCATTCAACAGCAATTGTGGACACTTTTACTGGTCAGTATGTTCACCGGACCCAGACTTAGTCCGCGGGTTAGTGAAGCCTTGAAGACTTCAGGTCTAGTGGCACCCGGATTACAAAATGCCGGGCAACCTATCCCATATCGTGTCACTATGCCCACAGTTTATGTGTTAGAAAATGCCACAATTGGGAGTGTAATTGTACAGGATATTCGCACACATTTGGGTTTACCTACAAACAGTTTGGTCAAACTTGGTCCCGGTTCTCTGACCCAATTCTTCCGTCTGGACAGTGATTCTGGTCGTCTGGTCACTGTGGCCTCCTTGGATTTAGAAGCCCCTGAAATTTGCCAAGCGGAGAAGTCATGCTGTCGACAAGAGCAGGCAAACAATGGACAACAGTTTCCATCTGGTAAAATTTCCTACGCAGATCCATCGTTGAATCTGAATGCATTGAGTGCGATTGACGCTGGTCGTGATTTTCCCACAGGTGATACATGTCGAATGATGGCATTTATCCTATCTCAAACTGGGTCAGAAAATCAACTTACCCCAATCACACGTTTGTATGTGACAATAGTCGACCTGAACGATAACGCGCCAGTATTCCGCGCAGTGGATGATGTGGCACGGACTCCGCCCGATGGAAAGGGACCGTATAGCACAAACACTCATCTTGGTGAGATCCCCGTACTAAAATTGGCTTTTTCCGAAGGGTCAGCCGGCTTGCACATCCGACACGATTTACCCACTGCGTATGATGCAGATTTTGCCCTGGCCAATCGTGTCAAACGATACTGGTTAGAGTGGAACAGAGACAAAGACAAGCTGGCTCTGGATTCGCACGAGAGCACTACATTGTTGGGCGCCATTCCAAACGTGCTGAATGTGGACGATCAGAACGGACTAACTTGGGCCAATCTGGGTCCGTTCCGTTTGATCTATTTGGAGCCGGGTAGAAGTATCGCTCTAGAGTTGGACACCGAACTGGATCGGGAACAAAAAGATTCCTATCAGTTGCGCCTGGTGGCCGAGGACGGAGGTGGATTACGTGGTCAAATTCGAATAGATGTGGATGTATTGGATGTGAATGAATACACCCCGGTATTTGCAGATGAGCCGCCGACGAAAGAACAACTATTGCAAATAAAACCTCGTGCGATCTATCGAAAGCGTTACAGTGTAAAAGAATCTCTGACTACCGGGAGTGAATTAGGTCAGTTACGTGCGTACGATGCTGATCAATCTCCCGGAAGTGGGATAACCTATCGCTTGGGTCCAGGCAACCCACCCGGAGAAGTGGTCAACACATTCCAGATTCATCCGAGAACCGGGCTGTTGAAACTCATTGGAACATTGGACTATGAGGCCACGCAACATTATCGATTGACTGTGATCGCTCAAGATGGTCCAACTTCGGAGGTCAGTCAGCCGGGCTCGCGGAATACCTCACCACGAACACATTCGGGGACGTATCGATCGGCGACAGCAATTGTAGAAATCAGTGTGATTGACGTGAATGATAATGCCCCGGTCATACGATTCGAAAAAGAGGATAATCTGTCCCCAAACACATCCGGCGGTACAGCAGCCACGGCAACTGTAGTTTCCGGTACAGTATCTACGGATGGTTCTAAAAAACCCTATGAAGTATGGATCAAAGAGGATTTACCCAAAGGTTCCCCTGTGACTTTCTTCAGTGTTACTGATCGTGACCTCGCCGATAACGGTCGGGTCACGTGTAGCCTAATGAACTGGACCGAACGATTCAGACTACGTGAATTCACCGGGCTATATGGGTTGGAAACCCTGGACACGTTTGATCGAGAACAGGTGGATTTTTATTACATCACAATTCGTTGTCATGACCACGGTGTACCCGTGCTTCAAACAGATCGTGCTTTATTGATTCACGTAGAGGATGTGAATGACTTGCCTCCAGTGTTCGAATTACCTGTTTATCAGTTTCATGTACAGGAAAACAGTCCACCAGGGACCGCGTTGAAACCAGTCAGTGCAAATTTCCCCACTCATGTCACTGCAACCGATCCAGATTTAAATAGTACAATTAAATATTCATTGGAACCACGTGTAAGCAGTTCCAAAAACATTGGTACGTCACGTCCCGAAGTCACCGGTCCCCGCCACGACGTGTCAGGTGCAATTGATCATCAACTGTTTCACATTGATCCCGTGAGCGGATTGATTACGACACAGGGTGAATTGGATCGTGAGGAACGGGCCAGACTTGGGTTTCAAGTGTGCGCGGATGATGGAAAACACGTGACCTGTACAGATGTCATCGTGTTGTTGGACGATGTGAATGACAATCGACCTCAGTTTGATAGAGACACATATGTGCTTCGGGTGGAAGAGAATCAGCTATCGCATAAACCGATTCTGGTATTTCGGGTTACTGATGCGGATGCAGGAAATCATGGATTTGTGTATGACTTCTACGAAGACCCAGTGCCCACACTGGAGCCAAAACGGAACCCAATATCACGTAACCAGACGACAGCAACACACGAATGGGAACAGTTCGAACCAGGAAGCGTGCGGTATCATTTTGCGTTACGTGAGAATACGTTGTATGTGCGACGACCGTTAGATCGTGAATTTCGATCAAACTATCATTTCTTCGTGACTGTGACCGATTCGCAAGAAATGTCAAAAATTCACTCAGATAATTCTATTACACGTCAGGTGTATACGGCAAATTTGACCAGTAAAGCAGAGATCTTTATTGATGTTGGAGATGTTAATGATAATGCACCCGTATTTATTTTCCCGAACTCAACCGGACCATCTGGTAATCGATTGAGCGTCTCGNATGGGCAGTTCCGTGAGCCGTCTACAAGCCACTGATCCCGATCTCGGTTTGAATGCAACAGTTACATTCTCTCTAATACACACGCCAGAGGTCGATCAGCTGTTCTACTTGGATGCTCAATCTGGAGAGCTTTTTGTGAATACAGGTCAGTTAGCTGAAAAATGCGGTGAAAGCCTGATCATGGTGGTCTCGGTGGATGACCAGGGACCACCCGAAAGTAAACAATCCAGACCGGCTCCGGTCGAACGCATGCTGATCAAAATTGAAGATAAACCAACCCTGGCTGAATTGATAGCAGCAGAGGCACGACATCAGTGGCGCATACAAGGAGAAACAAATGCAGACGGGCGGCTTGTGAAACATACAGATGGGTCTGCTGATGGCACGTTGGTCTACGGAGCACTGTCTACCCGCACGATTCTCAGTGTCGTCTTGGGTGGTTCCACTGTATTTCTAATTGGTTTATTGATTGTGTGGATGATACTATTACTGTACAATCGATCCAGAAGGCGTAAACATGTGCGCGTCCCGGATGCTCGACGATTTTCCAACAAACCACGTAACGATCCGGGATCCCCGCAGTCTGCGTTGTCTGGTGAGGCACCAGACAAAGGTGTACTGTTTGGTACTTTGAATTCGAACAAAGCGGAAAATCAGTACTGTGAACAGTTTGTTCGAAACGTGGTACAAGGCGGTGATAATAAACCCGGTAAGTCCCGTGGATGTTTTGCATACATACGATTCAGTAGGCCATATCACCAATCCATCACACACCGACACGTACACACACAAACACACCTTAGGCAATTTGTAGCGACTACAAACTATGGTATATGTCCACCGCGATAAACCTATCCCTAGTAGTTGGAAACGTTTTGGTAGAAGTGAAATCGGGTGCATACGTCAGACCGGATCACTCACATGGCACATGTATAGCAAACAAAACGAAGGGAAAAATATTGACCAATCACTATTTCGCAATTCAAGTGTATAGTTTGTCCCTTACCAAATTCTGCGTGAAATTTTCACAGTTGTCCTGAGTGCTAAGATCTTCGAGCACACCTAAACCCACTCCCTTCGAAATGCTGGCATATACAACATGATCTCAAACAAACCGCAAAATCGCGTCTCGGGTCCCTGAATGTTTTCCTTTTTTTCTCTTGTCCTGTGACTGGATTAGTTGTGCAATTGCTTTCAAGCCTATTTGGTCCGCTCTAGAACATCCATCTATGTGCTTGTATGTGTGTGTGCGGGCATGCACGCGCGCACGCATGAGTGTGAGGTCTATCGTGTAGGAGAGCAACAGTGCTGATCGTCAATTGTCCACAAGATTGACACGTTCGGTTAACTATAGCTGGGTGTTTGCTGGAAAAGAAATACAAACAACGAGGTCCGTGATCGAATGAATAGAAATCTCTGGGGATCAGTCAAGAAAAACCGACAGTGGGTAAACCGGATGGGTGGTACAGGTATGAAGGAGATGAGAAGATGGAAAGGAGATGGTGAAAGTAGGCGGTAGATACGCTTTGAATTACCCGCTCTGAGCAGCATGTGTTCAATGAACGACGACGACGACGACAACGCTAACAATAACAACATCAGCAACAACAACCATAACAACAACATATCGATTGAGCCTAATTCTGGTTCGATTCCCAAGGGAAGATAGTGAACATGCTTTAGCATATCACATCCATTTTATTTCGATATGTTAATATAAGAATGTGTTATTTCAGTGCTCAAGTTTGTATGTACATTTCTATTGCCTAACGACATGAACAGGAATGGGTCGTTCTATTCGCTTAAATGATTCACCTCCGTATTCCCATAAACGATGACGATAAANCTGAGCTCGAAGAAAAGTCTATTTTATAGACACATTTCACGAAAACCTTCCCGTTTATATTGGGTTCATAAAATGAAACACTGTAAGATCAACTAGAAACGAAATGCATCTGGGTCCCCGGAACCTTATTCCATGTGAACTTTCCTATTCATACTAGATGGATGATTTAAACTGCAGCTTGATATAACAAACCTCACGTGGTTATCCTAATGTGAACAACTCAGATATGGCACGGCTTTGTAACAATGACTGATGATAAATGGGTAGAACAAGTGTAGACTCCACGATGATTTGAGGTCTCGTAATTCCAATTACGCCATGTAAATACCTCAGTTCACGGAGAAATTCACTAACAAATTACCATACCCATATCAGCTTCGTACCAAGTCTAAATTGGTACTGTGCCTCGCATTATGTCACGTTTGTAGTCACTCTCGCTGTCGTTTGCACACAGGATGTACCACACCAGTAGTGTAGCTTACATGAACTTGAAGCTCCTCCAGGCGGTTGCCACTGGACATTGTTTTATTCAGTTCATGCATATTTACATCGGTTTCACATTGAGCTATGCCTTCACCAATGATGTCTTGTTCGTCAAGTGCTCCCACTATTATCTGGAATATTAGCGACCTCTCTGTCTCAAATCAGTTACCTTTTGAAGGACACAAAAAAACATATTTTGACCAACCTTTTTGCTTACTCTCTTTCCGTTGAAAGCACGCTGTTATTAGTTGTCATAGTGTCATTTCTGCCTCCATATGTCGTATCCTTCTGTCAATGAAAGGGATAAAGAGGAGTGAATGTTTCACACCATTCACCTTTCAGTCACACACGCGTATTATTAAAATAAAATTTATTGAGATAACCACAAAATATCGAACTTGGACACTTATGATCCGCCCCTCATCCGGGTTATACATCAAACGGTGTAGGAGTTCGGTGTCACAAACAGTCACCACTAGTTTCTTTGGTAGCCATTCAATATTTTGCTGCTTATATGTGTTTTCCCTCGTTTTTCAAGACCAAATTTGCGAAATATTTTTTCCATCTCCTTATATAATACATATTCGAATTCCGCACTCGAGTAGAGCGGTCTCCAAGACTAAGGAGAGTCTGATCGTGAACGGATGGTTAAAATACCACTTACCCGCGTAACATGAGGTCCGTTAAAAAAGGTACAGGATTTTCCAAATTTTTGTTCAGGTAATGAGTGCCGTTCCGAAGTTACCCAGTAGTATTCGAAAGGATACTACCTACTAGGCATACATCGCACAATAGAACCATGTTCACTGCTTACTTCTCCACTGCAAAACTTAATTCTAACAGGATGAGATGTTGGATTCCCAGGCAGTTGGATTGCTCCAGGGATGAATACGTCGCCTAATGCTGTCATTCGCCGGCTGTTTTCAACGAAGTTCCAATATTCCTAGCACACAACCATCTTATGCACAGCGGTCAGGCAGTTAAGGTCACCGACCTTCTGCCCCGGAATGAGTCTGTTCGAATCCCACCGCCGCCGCCACCAGCAGTTCTCTATATATCGTATGATAGCCCTCTGAGTGATCGCCTCCTCCTTCAAGAAAAAACATTGTTTATGTCAACATTTATTTGCAACAAAGGGGAGTAAAAAATAAGAGACGAACGGTAAGATATAAAAACATTTCGCTCGCATACACAGTACTGCTTCATTACGGTGAGAGTTTATCATCAGTAAGTAATGAAGGTGAACCAGATGGCACTGATTTGACTCCCGTGTGTCTATTTGGATCTAGTCTATTCACACAATTTCAGTACTTCTTACCACGGCCCCACATTTTTGATCTGCTCACTCTCATTGTGAAGTTCCTAAAGGCAGAATAACCCTTTTGGGGTGGTAGAGATTAAGAAGTACTCGATGGGTTGCAGAGAATAGCTACCAAGATGGTCAAAGGTCTACATTCCAAGACCTATGGCGAATATTGCAGGTACTGGGGCTATACTCGTCTTAATATCGTCAAATCAGAGACGATATGATCTTACTGTATCGGATTTTCCAACAGCCCAACCATCCATGTAGATCTTTTTTTGTTCTATCAACCAATGTTCATCTCAGAAGGCATCCACTGAAGTTGACACTCAAAAAGGGTCATCTCAACTGCAGACACCATTCGTTTGCAGTCAGAGTGTGCAGCTCATGGAACTCCCTACCACCTCACGTGGTTTGTGCCCCAACATTAGTATCTTTCAAGCGCCAGCTTGATGTTGCTCTGGCAGGCAATATGTTTCAACACACAACTACATAACATAATCTCCTGTGTTCGTCAAAAACATGACATTACAATTTTATTTACATGTACTAACTGTGATCCGGTGAATCGTATTCCAAACCAAGGTGTAAACACTCTATGGGATTTGATAAGCGAAGTGTTTTTAAGTTTTTTCCCATGATAAAAATTTGGATTCGAATTTGAATTTGAAATCCCGCAGAGCGGGGGCACACTGCATTCACCATAAAGGACCTCGTGATCGGCACCAAACGAAAGCTATCAAGTAACGTGAATTCAAGTAATCCTTTAATACACCTAAATGAATGATCATTCAGTAGCCACATAATCACTGAAAACCAAACACAGAGCAATAAATTACCATAACACTTGCCACGAAAATGGCAAAAATGAAACAGCACAAATACTAATCTGTTTTGAACAACATAATGCTCAGATTGCATGAAACTGGAGGTTTTGCTTGTGGAAATAGTCCATAACCGTTTAGGAACGATAGAACACAGTTGGGATCCATGGATCACACCACAGGGTTTCCATTAGATAGTGATGCAAAAAATGCAGATCAAAATGAAAATCTTTANAGTAAAAATTTACTTAAGGAGCGCTTAACGTAAAACGTCAGACCGGCCACTTTCAGAAAGCTGTTCGTGACATGATCAGACAGGCTGAGTTTGTGATGATAGATTGCACCACGGCATCTGACAGATGGTTGTCTGACCGGGTGATCGTTCGAAAGGAGGGACGGAGTCTGGCACTTCATCTTTTTCTTCCAGCCAGAACACTTCGTATGGAAGAAGATGATACCACGTTCCCTGGTTGACTGATAGATTCTGATGTGAAAATCAATCTACAAGTTCCGTCACATTAGTAAGGTAGCAGAGTAGCGTTCATTGATCGGTTGGAGTAGAGTAAATTAGTCAAGAAATCACCTGCGAATTTATTAAGAAGCGAATAGTTAAATATAAATGTACGTATGTGTTTTCACTCTCGTTTAGTTCATCATTTGCTTATTAGCAAGTGCAATGAAGCAGACTGAGTGTAATGCGTCACTTTCGAAAGTATAAAGTAAAAACTGGTGAAGAACTTAGATGTTGAAATGGGATATTTGTTCAATATCAACAGAATCGCATGAATATGATGATTATTCATCGAAGCACTCGAAATCCTTGTTTGACGGACGTTTGCATCCCACGGTTGATTCTGGGCACGCGACAGTTTCAATAGGCTCTCAAATTTAGATGTTGATAACAACGGCTTCTCAAGTTGGATCCCTTCCGAGGGAATCATCCATTTTGATTCACTGAGTGTTTAGCTCTGAGTCGAGTCGAAATCCCTGATTCAGAGTTCCAGTGAAAATGATATCGGTGTTTGCATATAACCCACAGTCCACGTGCAAACACGGATTGTACACAAGAGGACTTATTGTATTCATATATCCTTTTTCGCCCAACTAAACTCTCGCTCGTTTTTGAGGACCATGGTCACACAAGTAGACATTTATCTGCGTGATTTAGGTGAGTACCATCCGGCTGGATTGCATAGGGGAATAACCAACCCATTCGATAGTTCCGAGGATTCTACACCACTCAGAGTCAGTCGAACCGCGTGATTCACGAGGCTAAAGCGTTCCGTCTCAACCGTGTCGTTCGCAACGCTCGATCAAAAAAGATTAGATATTTTATCTGGGTCACGCCGAAAGGGACTGGAGCCCAATCCTTTACTTTACTTCTGCCCTAAAAGCAATTCATTAGAACCCCAGGTCCCCTATGGTCAGCACTGCTTTCTTCTCCCATCCGCTCGTAACCCGAGGGAATGCGTGTGTATGAAAATCAAACTGTGAGCAACCCGATTCCGATCGTAAAAGTGAATTTTCAGTTATTTTTTCTCAGTCTACAAATAATCCTCATCCAGTAGAACATTATAAGATATGAACTGTGATGCACTAGCCAGTGGCGGGTCACCAAGAACGAGCTTGTTTGCAACTGTTCGCTTTGTATTTCATTGAGATTGCGAAAACCGGCACAAACCTTCTGAATAAATTTTCCTACCAAAATCAGAAGATGATTCTAAATGGAATAGGAGTTTAGAACATGGTGTACCTGTGCAAAGTTTAGTAAATATACCATAAAGTTACTACGTTTCCTGTGAGTAGTATTTCTTTCATTGAATGTGGGTTTATCTTTTGGTTTTAATATTCGAGCAGATGGCTATCATCGGGTACCGTGATGCCTCACCTTCTTCGGTACCGGAATTAATTTAATGACTCAATTTGTTAGAGATTACACGGATTCAATCTCCCAAATCACTGTTACCAAGATATGGAATCAGAAGTGATTCTGACTTTCTCAGGTCATACAGTATCTTGGATATTCATCGTTTTGAATGGCACTTGAAACTCATTCGGATCGAAAATAAATTATCATCACGTCCACCACGTGTTGGCTACCACTTCGCACACTCCGTCATTCACGTGTCCTCAATGGTCCGCTCAGTCGCATCAACATGCATCGAAGTAGTCCGGTTTGATTAGCGTACCATTTCGTCACCGAATACCCGGGGACAAATAGTCCGTTATATTTATCGTTGATCAGCCAGCAGTACAGTGGGTGGTGTATGATGCACCAACAGACCTGTGACTGACATCAACTCGTGTCTGAGTGCATCTTCGGGGTTGAGGGTGGAGGTTGCGACGTGGATATTTAGCTCGCGAAAGTGTGTGTACATGGGCAGACTAGACGTCCGTTTTCATGTGTGTGTGTGTGTTTATATATCAGATGGCACCCGAATAAGATTGGGCGATAACGCCAAACTTTGCCAGTGATTTTGCGCCGGAGCACGCAACAGCATTGAAGTCACCTAGAAGCGAGTGAACTATGGAAAATATTTGGACAGAATAGTGGAATAACAGCCACACAGAGAGAGAGAGAGAGAGAGCGAGAGAATGAGGGGGGGAGAATACTCGAGAGCTATTGTTGCTAATGTGATTCGCAAACTAAGAATGAGGTCACGCGAAGGATTAGAAACTTACATATTGGAAAATCGAACACAAATTTGATCGATTTGCGTGCTGTAACATTCAGCAATGAGTGAATGACAATGTTTACAGTGGAAGGAGGAATCCAAAAAGCTCCGTTCCACTTGGAACTGCAGTCTCACGGGGCTCGAATCATCTTCAGATTTTGTCGTTCCGTGAAGATCAAAAATTCCTTCATTCTGTTTAATAATGAGCCATTATCGTGCACCATCACCTGTATGTATAATGTCCTTGTTTTAATATTCTCTAAGGCTACACGATTTCATGGAAATATTTCACCGTTTGCAGTAAGCTCTACATCTGCTCGCCTCCTGCGAATGGAATCAAACTTCGCATCACACAGGCACTACTAGCCAGACTGATGAAAAGTTCAATCACTGAACCTCACTGTATATGAGAGAAATGAAGGTATAAGAAATCGCTCAATATATTGGCAATATTTCATGAATCCACTTTCGTTGTTTATATGCTTCTTCTTCTTCTTTATCAAGGGGGGGGGAGTATGCGCGTGTGCGATTTGAATTACCCTTTCCCGTGTTCAGGTAGTAGGTCTTGTTGTTGACTTCCTTGCAGACAGTAGCGCTGTTTATGTGAAGCTCGGGTTGGCGACAACAACCGTAACAAGTGGTCACTGATCGGGGCCCATGGTGTGGGTGTGTGTGTGAGTGCGATGCTGGTTTATCTCTCGCTACCCACACTCGTTTCGATCACGATCGTGAGTGTGAATTGCGATTGATTTCATTGTGCTGTTGTTGTTGTTGTTGTTGTAGCTGTTAGCCCAGGATTGACCGTTTTCTGCATGGCTGACCTCACAAGAAGTTAACCCACCACAACCTCCACACAAATATGTTTCTTTCTCGCTCTCAAGATGAAGTGGGCCGGAGTGAAATAGAAACAGCGAGGGTGCGAAATAGTTAGAGTGGGGACCAGACCGGGTGCAGTGGAGCGGGGAATTCAGAGTGGTATCCATATTTTAGGTTGGGCGCCTTCGGACTAATTCAAACAAATCGGGAAAGAGAGCGAGAGGGATGTAACGCGCTCTAATGAGCGAAGTTTACGCGCTACACTGGAACAACGATAGAGATCCCGATTAATGCAGGTTTACGAATATGGTATCATTGGTGATCTAGCCCAAAGTGATATCATGATTATTTATTCTAATGGGAAACAAGTGAATAAAACACCCACACAACTTGAACACCCATACCCCTCGGGTTGTAACATTTGGGTTGAAGTAGGAACCAAACGTGAAAGATCGAAAACGCGTTTTCAATAAGTGGATACTTTTCTCCATTTGCATTCATGTATCCCAGTGAACTACACATCATTCCACCTAATCGAATAGTCCCGTAAACGTCTGCAACAGATCAACCGTTGACGCTGTGTTATTTATGTCCAGATATATTTTGGCGAAATAATTTACATGTGTATATTATAATTCCCACTCGTCTGAGTCCAGTTTGTCAACTCAATACATCATGATACAAAAATCGTAGGCAGGTTCATGATTTGTTACTGGGGAGAAATAATGACAGGTTGTCCAGGCCAAACAGGATGAATTTCCTTGGGGACTTGACAACGTGATCCTCTAACTATCCAAAGCCTGACTGGCAAGGCAAAGGGGGAATTGTTAAAACCGCATCCGATGGGAGGGGACGATGGTGTTTACTTCCTCGGATCATATGCCCTTGACAATGAAGTAAAAAGTAATTTATCCCGTAATGCTAACTGCTACCTTGTGTGCATTTTCCGTACAGGTTCGTTTTTCAAGGCCTTCGTGGCTTTTATGGGAAACAACTGGTCGGAATCAAATCCCGTTTTTAAAAGCATGAACAACTTCCTGATGAATATGACCAAAATTATTTCAATTTGCATCATAATGAATCATGCACTGTTCATCTGTTGTGCGACACACGAGGTAGATTTTAGTTGGGCTTTCTTTGTAGCTCGTCGGTTATCTTCATCCATGGACCGACTCGAGGTCTGAACTGCAGACCCCAGTCGATGATTGATCTCACGATTTCAAACTTAAACACTGTATACCACCTGTTATTTGAATCAGGTTTTTATTGAAGGAAAACGTCGTCAGATTAGTCTTCTACAATACGTTTAAATTTTGTTAAGACAACGGGTCACCTAAATTATATATTTTAACAGAATGATTGATTTGGCTAAAACATCTCAAAGCAAGTTTAATTTGAAAGCTAAGAGTTTACATTGAGAACAATAATGAGTATGCAATGTATTGACAATAATCTTTTATTTTGATCTATAATATAAGACATAAAACACATAAAACACATTTGAAATAAATATTTAGGTGACAGGTAACAGAAAGTTGCCAGCTATTGAGTAAGTTGGGGGAATTTAGTGTGACTCGAGAGCGCGGAACTACGAACCGATGTGCTGTCAATCTTCACCGCTCAAAAAGGATTTAATTTGAAAAACTCAGTGAATAATACTTAATAATAATACTTAATAATACTTAATTCATCAAGTGTTACAGATCAGATGAGTAACGCTATAACTGACAATATTCGTACAATAACTGTCCGAAAGCTATACGACCAGCACAAATGGGTATTGACTCCATCAGTGTAAACCCTACATCTAAAGTTTGTGTGACTCTGATTTGAGCAATATGACTTTCAGCCCCGTAATATATGGCTATCGGAATACACATGCAACGAGTGTTATTCAGCACAGGTTTAAGCAAACGAATCGCCTAATCTGAACTCAATAGAGAGCTGTACACGATGACTTGTTGAGAGCACAAATCAGGTGAC